TTTTTTTTATTAACTCCAATAATTTTTTTTAATAAAAACTATTATCCAAATAATTTGAGAAAAGATTTGAATTAATCTGTTAATCCACGGTTAACTCACAAATCCAACCTCAGCGTTAGACCGTTTGATTTTTTATAATCCTAGCCCACCTACACAAAAAGCTCATTTTTTTTACATGAAAAACAAGAGGCATATATCTCAATCATGCAAGCCGTTGAATGCACACCATCTCTCCCATTAGTTAATACTGTAGTTATAAATTTTGGAAGGAATCAAGCTCGGATTTTTTTTTTTTGAAAAATAATACAAGTTGGTGAAAGTTTTGGTAAAAATATGACCTATTATAAAATTATTTAAAAAATAATATAGTTTCAATACAACCATGATTCTAAATATTAATTTTATAACAATTCTTATCGAAAATAGTGGTTGTTTGCACACAAATTAAATATATATGTCTTATGCAAAGTAATTAACATCTACATAAATCAACATAAAAAATTATGAAGATCCAAATGTTAAAAAATAAAATAGGAGATAAGTTGATGCGTCACGGGGAAGAAAAAAAAGAAAAAAAAATAAATTACTAGAGATATATTAGTGCTTTGTTTTCTACCTATATGATATCAATAAAAAGATTTTGATTAAACAATTTTAATTATACTATAAAAGAACAATAAATAAGTTTGTAATGAATTATTGATTTTGTTTAAGGTTAATTTTGCGTTAAGGTAAATTTTGGGTTAAGGTAATTTATGGTTTAGTTAATGCCAAATAAAACTATTAATTAATTATGATCTTGTTTGGTGTTTTTTATAGTGCGGTTAGAATCATCTTGTCAAGGTCTTTTTAATAATATTAAGTGTGTAAAAAACAAATATTCAATGTGTCTCGAGTACTTTTTTCTTTCTTTCTTTTCTTTTTCTTTCTTCATTTTTCTTTCATACCATACCAACTTATCTTCCCTTTTATTTCTTGGTAATTGAATCTTGATTCTTATATTTTAATTACTAGTTATTCATGAAATTTTATGTTGATTTTTGTAAATATTAATTAATTTTTTTTTTATGTTGATTTTTGTAAATATTAATTAATTTTATTTTTTTTCTTGAGTGAAAAATCATTGTTTCCGATAGCAGTTATTACAAAAACTAATATTCAGAATTATATTGTGTTGTGTTATTTTCTATATATTTTTCTGACCCATATCATTTTCTAAGTACTATTGACAAATTATATTATAATCATAAATTACCCATAAAAAATCAAACTAAACCTCCCATTTTTATTTTTTTTTAGATTAACGTGTTAATCATAAATTACCCATAAAAAATCAAACTGAACTTCCCATTTTTTTTTTTTTTAGATTAACGTGGGTGTCCGGGCCAACTTGCGCGCACCACGACTAATCCCACGGGCCCTGAAGTTAACGACCATGTAAGCCTCCAGTGGCCATCATATGAGCAACCAAGGACTCGAACTTGAAACCACATAGAGAGCAAACCCCTTGATTCTAAGTCCTTACCACTTGGCCACCACCTAGAACTTCTCATTTTCTATGGATGGGAAATAAGTACTCCGACTTTATATATTAGTCGTCGATCCACTAACCTGCTCCTCGTATTCAATGTTAAAACAAGGGCAGACCATGATCAACTTAAAATGAATTAGAACCCTAGATAAAATTATAAATAAGGCTTTTTAAAATATTTAAAAAATATTTTTTATGTAAATGGCAAGTAGAATCTCGAGTAATCTTCATTTTATACATGAGATCTTAACATTTTGTTAAACGAGGATAGTTTTCATTTTATAAAACATAAATAACAAGTATGTTGTGTATTGTTGGAATCTTTTTATTAAGTTGAGGGATTGCACTCTTATTCAAGTTGCGTATATGCCCCACCTCAAAGAATAGAATAACCAATGGCTCTCATTACATTAAGAACATTGCAGAAAAGGAAACAAGAAGTTGATTTCTTACCCTTGAAAAAAATATAAAGAGAGAAAAAACTTCCACTCCATCTCCTATCCTTACCTCATTAGCTATTAGCTCAGGTGGGTTTGTAGGTTATATTTATTTCAATTTTAAGTATCACCGCACTTTCAAATTTAAAAGATTGCAAGAAACTTGCGGCTACATTTAAGAAACTCATGTGCATGTGTAAATAGTCCATGTTAAACTTAAATTGGAGATAAATTTAGTAATAGTGCTGTGAAATAATACTCCAAAAATACCACTTTAAGTTTCTGGATCGAGTTCTTCAATAATTTCTGTCTTAATTGAACGTCGAAATTTTTATAAAATTCTCAACAAATGATGCCTCTTTAAAGTGATGTTTTCCATTAAAAATATGTGAAGCGTTGAGGCAGAAAGCTCAATTGACAATATGAGTCCTTTGAAGCCTAATCGAAACAAAAGAATTCCATTGAGATTCAAGTTATAGTTTAGGGACTAATTTGAATTTTTTCTAAGAGATTGTAGCCTCCTTTGAGTTGTCAAAAAGACGATGTCCCAAGGAGACCCAAAAAGAAAAAAAAACACCCACACAAAAAAAAAGGGTGGGGGGGTTGTTTGTTCGCTTTACATAGACAGAGGGACACAGATTCTACCAGCCCGTCAAAAATGGCGATGGCAAGTATTGCAAAGAGAAAGGCATGCTTTTTAACAAGAAACTTATCAAATTCTCCAAGTGCTGATGCTTTGAAGTTGTCTTATTCACTCACAAAATTCTCTCTTGGGTTTGCTACCTCAGGATCTGAAGAGAACGATGTGGTTGTCATCGGTGGTGGACCAGGTGGCTACGTGGCTGCTATTAAGGCTACCCAGCTGGGTCTTAAGACTACTTGTATTGAAAAACGCGGTACTCTTGGTGGTACTTGTCTTGATGTTGGTTGTATCCCTTCAAAGGTAATTTCTTTTTTTGTTTTGGTTTTTTTTTTAACCTGTTCTTGTATTAAAGTTGTCGATTTTTTTCTATCCGTTTTTTTGTGAGATTTTATGGTTTGTTTGGTTTCAGATCCATTTATATTGTTTGTTAGCTGAATTTGATTGGTGAGTTTTTAGTTGAAATGGAAATTTTTTTTATTGCTTGTTTGAGAGGGAATTCTTGTCATGTGACACCCTTATGAATTCTCGAACATTTTTTTATCTGGCTATTGGATAAGTTTTTGATTGTTTAATGAAAGAAATCAAAAGTAGTGGAAGATTTTTTTCTCTATTGGATTCAGCATTTTGATTTCCTAGGTGAAAGTGCATTGCGCAGTATATGCAAGGACCAGAGTATGCTGTAATCAATTCCAGTTAGGCAGTGGATTTAGAGTATCAAAGTAGAACTTTTAAGGTGTGTTTGATTAGTTCTACTGATTATCTGCTTACCTGCCTGTGGAAGACATGGTGATTTGTATAGAATAGTAAGCAGCTCGTTTATATTAATTCGTCTAAGGCGTGCTGGAATTCAATGTATTATCAATTGTGTATGTTCTTGTGCTATTTTGAAGATAACAACCAGAAGTCGTACTCCTGAATTGTTGACTAATTTGGTACGTTATTAATTCATTTGATTTAGTTATTTAACCTATATTTTGTAACTCTGTTATTTTTTTATTTTTTTATAGCTAAAATCTTTTATAAGCACAGGGAAAATATGTCTGCATGCCTTAACATATATCAAATTTGAATTGGTCTAGCCCTTCTTATTTTCAGGCTCTTCTTCACTCATCACACATGTTCCATGAAGCCCAACATTCATTTGCTAGCCATGGAGTGAAGTTTTCTTCTGTTGAGGTTGATTTACCTGCCATGATGGCCCAAAAAGACAAAGCCGTATCTACCCTTACTCGAGGTATTGAAGGTTTATTCAAGAAGAACAAAGTCAACTATGTCAAAGGGTATGGCAAGTTCATATCCCCATCCGAGGTGTCAGTGGACACCATTGATGGTGGAAACACTGTTGTGAAAGCTAAGAATATCATAATTGCCACGGGTTCTGATGTCAAATCTCTACCTGGGATTATCATTGATGAAGAGAAACTTGTATCTTCTACTGGTGCTCTGGCTTTGCAGCAGATTCCAAAGAAACTTGTGGTCATTGGAGCAGGCTATATTGGACTTGAAATGGGCTCAGTGTGGGCCCGGCTTGATTCAGAAGTAACTGTCGTTGAGTTTGCTCCAGATATTGTCCCAAGCATGGATGGGGAAGTTCGCAAGCAATTTCAAAGTACACTTGAGAAGCAGAAGATGAAATTCATGCTCAAAACTAAGGTTGTAGGAGTTGATACTTCTGGAAATGGTGTGAAGTTGACAGTTGAACCGGCATCTGGAGGTGACCAGACAACTCTTGAAGCTGATGTGGTCTTGTCTCTGCTGGTAGGACTCCATTCACTGCTGGACTTGGGCTGGACAGGATTGGTGTGGAGACTGACAAGGATGGTCGAATTTTAGTCAATGAAAGGTTTGCAACAAATGTTTCCAGTGTCTATGCTATTGGGGATGTGATTCCTGGCCCAATGTTAGCACACAAGAAGAAGATGGAGTTGCTTGTGTAGAATTCATAGCAGGCAAACACGGCCATGTCGACTATGATAAGGTCCCTGGAGTTGTCTATACACATCCTGAGGTTGCATCTGTTGGTAAAACTGAAGAGCAGGTTAAGGCACTTGGTGTTGAGTACCGTGTTGGGAAGTTCCCTTTCTTGGCAAACAGTCGTGCCAAGGCAATTGATGATGCTGAAGGGTTAGACAAGATAATTGCAGAGAAAGAGACAGACAAAAGATTGGGAGTCCATATCATGGCGCCAAATGCTGGAGAGCTCATTCATGAGGCAGTGCTGGCTCTTGCTTATGATGCTACTAGTGAGGACATATCACGTGTATGCCACGCACATCCAACAATGAGTGAGGCATTGAAGGAAGCTGCCATGGCTACTCATGACAAGCCCATTCACATCTAAAAGGATCGATTATTACCTTCTTCTTTTCATTTTTGCTGAACGACTTTCCAAATTCCTTAGTAAAAACTGCCTCTGCTATGTTCACCCTTTATTGGAGCAGATGGAATGTTTGAATAGGAATTTGCCATTCATTTCCTTATATCTATATGAGAATAACTAAACACGTCCAACATTCATGATAGATGAGTACATGTATTTTTAGTCAATGGTCTTTACTAATTGTCCGGGAATGTTTGTGCAGCTGGGATTTATTCTAGGTTCCACTGGACTTTCACTTGTGATCTGCAGAATTGTCAGTGGAGATGGTTGTTGGGATCCCATCCTAATTGCTGAATTCTTAATTCAGTTTCCAGCCTATTTGTGGCATTCATGCATTATAGTCGTGGAGCTTTGGCTTTTTGCTACTGTTAGTTTTGGTTACAAGTGATATGCGAAATGTAGCACACTTGTATCTCCGGCCTGGTCACAGGTGCAGGTCATCAATAACCCTTGCGAAAAACCGAAGAACTAACCATTCGATTTGCGCGTTCCATTTGTCTCACCTGACGCGCTAACGTCAGAATTTTCTGTTCCTTTTCCTTCCTCTGGAGATGTATTATGTCTATGGCGGGGGGTTACAATATGCAGGGACCTATATCAACTAAGGATACAGCCAAGTACTTCCTTTCCCTCGAACCTGCCTATGAATGTTTGCGAGCATCCATTACTGACAATTTAAAGCATCCATTTTTCAAACAGGAACGAAATCTATATGCTTGCCCAAAAGGAGACGTTTGTTAAATTGAAATGACTATTTATTAGCCTTGTTACAGAAATGGACGTGCTGTATTAGATGATAATCCCTCTAGTCCTCGTGCCTATGAAAAGGAAAAATATAACGGGAGGCAGAACATGTGCATGGTGAAATGAGAACTACAGAAGTAAAAGATTTCATCCATCATGTTCCAAATTCCAATGATCAAACGCCAGTAGTTGATCCAAGTTCCCAAAGAAGAAACCATCTAATAAAAGTAGGAAAGAGGACAAACATTTGTTACAAATACGACTGCTCTCATCACTTCTCTTTTCTTTTAGAAGGACCTAAAATTTCACTTCCTTGACCATTTGGGACATCTAAATAAAAACACCAATCCATCACTCTGCTCATCAAAGACAAAGTATCCCTTATGCAAAATCCCAGGACTTACTGTCTTTCCCCATGTTCACTGCAAATTCACGATGGTGGAGTTACTGGAAAGTGCAATCACAAATCCTCTCGCATATCTGTCCTCCTCCTGGCCTGTAGTGCCAACCGTGCATCTCTCTCCCTCTCAAATTCCCGGTAATCTGTTCGTTCCAAGAAAGAAACCCTCTCCAAATACTGGTTTGAGCTCTTCTTGTATGCATCTAACTCGTCTTCTAACCCCTTATTTTCTTCCTTAAATTCTCCCCAATCCTTTTTCGTCTTGTCAAGCACACTGAGCTTTGGTTTCTTCTTGATTTGTTCAAGAACAGCATCAACAGCAGAAGGTGCAGGAGCTTTGGCCTTTTCAGTTGCTTCTTTTGAATCTGCATCAACAAGCTTCCTAACTTCAATTTCCTGACCAGCAAAGTCTCGAACCTCCTTAATCTGAAAAGGAAACAAATTTTGTGAACTATGTGATGTAGAATGAATAAAAGGAAATCTAGGGGGATAAAAGAGAAAAAGAAGTGATGATGAATCAACAATAACACACAAAGAATCCACCTTGATAAACAAGAATAAACATATATCTAAAACCAGACTCCACATCAATTTCTTTGACAAAAAACATTTTGGAACGCACAGTACAACACGCTTCGCATAGGCACCAAGAAAACCAGATGGCTGAGATGTACTTGATAACCTTGTTCTTGGACCACATTGCCATGACAATCAAAGTGATGGTACGTAAACTGGCACACAGAACAAGAACACATGCTTGAAATTCAAATCAATTTCTTACCTGTGTTGAATAAAGGAGGCATGTTTGATTAAAGTTAGCTTAGAAACAGCCATAACTTGACATAGACAAGCAGATGCAACTCAAGTTTAAAGAGTTAGGAGATGACTTATTCAGACATTTTTATCATAAATTATTCCCATTTAGCAAAGACACTAATACTGGTTATCATGCAATGGATCCATCTTCATGTTACTGCAAACAATTGTCAAGCTCAGCCAAATAGTTTTCATGGCTAAAAAGCCATAAGATGGCTAGCTAAGTACAGGGAAAAGGAGAAAAAGAGCTCACCTCAACTTTACCCCGGCCTGCTGCTGCTGCTGCAGCTGCGGCAGCAGCATCCTTAACTGCAGAGAGAGCTGCAGCAGCAAGCTTCCTGGCTTCATCACCACTTCCATTTTGTATATCATTAGCTCTCCTCTGTGGTTCATCATGCCCAGAGTATTCCTTTCGCTTTGTTGCCATGCCCAGATAGGTCATCCAATTCTATGAAATAAGAGAGTTAACAAACTATATCAATACAACCATCAACTGATCAATCTCGTCATAAAAAAAGAGGCAATAAAAGCCCTCACATCAGACTTAGGCTGCGGAGATTCATCCACTGTTGAACAAGATCCGTTCAAAAACGTTTTGTGCAACTTATTAGGTACTCCTTTATTCATATGCTCCCACAAGGTAGCAACCTTGCTGTCTTCAATGCTGGTACCATTATGCTGCACCTCCCCATCTTGTCCAGAGGAGTCTGCCTCCTTAGGTGTCAAGCCAAGATAAGCCATCCAGTTCTACCACATAAGGATCAGCAGAAACAAATAAAACATCAACCACCAATTATACAACTAAAATCCCATTCAAAAGAGTTAGAGAGAGAGAACATCCTCACATTATTCGCCTTCTTTGAACTAGCATTCACGGTCGAAACATTACGCTTATTTGAAAGTGATTTAGCAGTCTTATTAGAAACTCCTTTATTCATTTTTTCCCATATAGCTTCCACCCGCGATTCCATCTCTTTAAAGATCAAGAACAAACCCGTTAAAAACCACCATGTCAAAAACAATAATTTTTCCATTTGCAGTCAATGAAGTAATAAAATCCAAATCCAAGATTCATACCACCTCCTTCGGGTTTTCGGTCCGAAACAATTTCTTTAACAGACTCGACTTGAGAACCCATCATTCACATTCACCCTTCCTCCTGAAACCCACAGAGCCAAAATCCTTCAATACCAGAATAATTAAACCCTTCAATTGTGACTAGCTAAGATTTTTCATAAAACTGATATCTTGTTCACTATAATTATACAAAAAAATAAAATAAATACAAGAGAAAAGGCACAAAAGCATGCAAATCTTTACCCAAAAAAAACCCTAACTAGAGTCACTATTGACAGAAGCGAATTGACACGTACCTGCATAGAGATCAGAAACCGAAGCGAAAAAGGAATCGAACCTCTTGTTTTTCTTCTACTCTTTTTCTTTTTTTAATTTATTTGGTGATATTTTTCTTCTCTTTTATATGGGTAAAAACGGGGGCGGAGGAGGCTAGCTACCATAAAAACTAAAAATCTGGCTCCTCTTCTTTTCTTGCTTTCTTTTGTTTTTACCTGGTAAGACCCAGATAAATGTGGGGAAAGCCCATGGGCATGCGTTTAACCCATGAACAGCTATGGCCCAAAGCTTATCATAGGAAGAATAATATAGCCCATCTAAGTTGGAGCCGTTAAAGGATGACGGATGAAAAATGGTCGGGTCGGGTTTTTTCTCCCTTTCCCGAACTTCCTCTGGACCACATTGGATTCGGGTTTGGTGTTTGTACCGGGGTAATTACTCTCTAAGGTTTATAAAGGCTCCCAGTGACTCTTTCTCTTAAAAAAAATATTTTTTTTCCAAACTTTTTCACTTTTTTTTTTCTTTTTAATTTTATCCTTCAATCTTATACTTCTTCTTCCTGCATTTTATATTTTATTCAAAATTATAATTATTTATTGAGTTTCTAAAAACTATACTTAATATCCTCATAAAAAATCAACAAAAAAATATATTTTATTATCTATAAATTTATTATTATTTTGTATTTGATAATTAATATGATTTTATATTAAATATTATTTATCGTCAAAATTAATCACCCATCCTCTTCCTTTTTTTTAATAACAAGAGAATACGGTCATCCCAACTCAACGTTTTTTTTTTTTTAAAAAAACACCTATGCACCATCCTTCCATTGTCATCAGACCAAAAATCTACCATCGCATTTACTCTACCCTCTCTCGTTAAAAAGTAAACAAGGGAAATGATTTGCTAGCGCGCAACCCAAATTAAAGTACAAAAATATGTTAAAACCCAAGATCAGATAAGATCCAATAACCACTTGCTCATATTGGAAGACATTAACCTCGCCTTAATTTGTTTGGCCCATAAAATGTGTTTTTTAAAAAATAAAATTTTCTTGAATTCAAAAAACAATATTGAAAGACTTCAACCTCGACTTAATTTGCTTCCGAGCTTGTAGTTATTGTTCTGATAATGTGTTTTTTAAGTAATTTTTATTTAAAAATATATTAAAATAATTTTTAAATAAAAATATTTTAATTATTATTATAATTTTAAAATTTAATTCAATATTAATTTAAAACAAAACTTATGTAAGGGGTCAAGATGACCCGAGTTGATGTTGATGTATATTGGTTTAAAATAAAATTAATTATTTTTATAATTTTAAAATTTAATTTAAAAATTAATTTTGATTAGGTCAACATCATGAGTTGAATTGATTGTTGACTTAAATAGATATAGAAATAAAAATAATTTTAATTTTAAAATTCAATTAAATTGAGATAAAATACTTGAGATAAAGTTGTTTGTTATTATAGTTTTAGAATTTAATTTGAAAATTAATCAAATCAATGTATATAAAATAAAACAATAAAAGAATTCAATTTTTTTTCAGCACGGTGCCACAAGAGTTGGATTTTAAGTAAAAAGAAGGGTAACAGACCTCTTCAATTGCCACATACATCTTATATTGGATCTTCTGTTGGGTTTTCAGAGAGATGTAAATGGAAGCAGCTGCAGCTACTTTTATTGAGATCTTCTATTGAGATCCCTAGAACTGCAAAATCTGTTGCTAGATCGGGTTTTCTAGCTACAGTATTTGTGTGTTTTCCTATTAAGGTACTATCGATTAGTCTCATTTTGATAATGGGTTATTGAGTTTATGCATGAATTTTGTGTTTGGTGATGATTAACGTATAATCTATAGCCAACCTTCGTGATTCTTTACAAATATGCCCTCTTTCAATTAGGGTTTCTCTCTCTTAATTCAAATTTCACCGTTTCCAGATATATAAGTTGGATTTTACAATAGAAATTGCTTCTCTTAATTTGTCTATAAAAGAAAAATAGACCAATTCTTTCGCTCAAAATGCATTTATTCTGTTCAATAAGATTTAAATGGCCAAAGTTTGTCAAATGTGATTGCTCTGTTCAATATGAATGACATCCATTTTTACAGCATGTATTCATCACCGGGAACGATTTCTCATGTCTAACATGAACGTTAAATCACATGAGAGGCCATCAAAGTTTCAATTTAAAGACTAGATGCAGTTTCAATCTAAGCTGTTCATCTTCCTCCAGTGTCACACCACGAGCTATGGTACCTTTAATCGGCCTTGCTTCTAATATACCATTTCTGTCCAAGCCTAGGAATATCTCAAGAGAAGAACAATTGATGCACAAATCATCATTTGAAAAATTAAGGCATGCAGCATATGGTGCTGGAATTTTCTATCTGAGGTATCTCAAAGTAAGAGATTTTGTTTTTCCAGCATTATTTCGCTATGCATGTCATTTTAGAGAATTTTTTATGGTCCTGCGTGCTTAAAGCCTACAACCCATAAGATACTTACATTGCAAGATCCATCAACGTGACTCAGGGCTGAGCATTTTTAATTTCATCTGGTATTGGTATTGGACTAAAATAAATAATTAAATTAAATTTTTTAAAAAGTTTTTGAATTGTACTGAATCAAAAATCAGTTCAAACTAATTACTTTTATTTTGATTTAGTGTTTTTTTTCAAACTAATTCAAACCTAAATTATAATGCTTGAATTAATTTCAGATTCAATCCACTTTTTCTCTAACAAATGTTACAAGGCCCATCAGTATCAGTTTCAAACAAACAGAAAATAATTCCCAACATCGCACCCAAATCTCATCCTATCGTATACTTTTCAGGAATATATAAATTTACAAGAACTTTAATCTTTTGTGCTCAAATTCTGGAAGCTATACGTTCTCTCCCTTTGTTCCATTTATTTCAGGAGCTACACTTGGAAAAGGTTTGAATATTATGCTATCAACTTTGGTAGGTGGTGCTCCAGGTGTTGGAGCTCATCACTTACCAACCCGTTAGTGATATTAAATAGATAAACAAATTAAAGCTGCTTCAAATTATTTAACACGTTTCATTTTTTATTTTTTTTTATCTGCAGCTACAACAGTGAACTTTACAAGATTTGTTCCTGCAGTGCAGGCAAGGTATTATTATAGGCTACCCATATTCATATTGACCTCTTGTTTAGTACCAGTATTAGGCTATCGAGATGATCAAGCTTTAAAGATAACTCGCATGAGGCTATTGACAATCATCATCATAGTTCCACTGCTATTATGATATGTACTGGCATTTTTCATGTCTAGATTCGAGAGGAGCTACGCAATTTGGTAATTGGCAACATGGAGAAACTTGGGAATTATTTAGAAGGTATGCATCATAAATTAATTACCGTCCTCTTCCTTTCTTGTTCAAACACCCTTTGAAATGATGCTGCATTAAGATTATGACAACATGATAACTATTTATGTTTCTTTGTCCGTGTTAAGAATTCATGCTGACATCTCATTGATTGCTATGATCCCTTAGAAACAAACAGACTATGACATGTTCCATATAAAAACTACCGTGCATTCACGAGGTTCCTCAGAGCCAGTTCAAACTATAATAAACCCGCACGCTCTGCTTGTAGAGTATCTTGCTTCACATGAAAGAGAAAAAAATAAATAGTGCAAATGCGTCAGGTTTAACGATCCGTCACTCTTGTATTTTCACTTGCAACCATTTTTCGCGTTGCTATTAGTAACCAATTTTTAGACTTATCATCTATCCACTGCCCTTGGAATTCAAAAACAGTACAGATTTTATGAATCCATTGACACATCCATATATCATTTATGGACCCTTTTTATGAAAAAGTAGTGTTCATGTGCAAGCCCTTTCCATGCATGGTAGACTTATATGCTATCATTAATTCCACCTAGTATTTTAGAAACAACACTTTCTTCATTGTGGTACAGAGTATCCAAGCTTTGTTTTAGAGTATTTTCATCTGATAAATAACATCTCACATAAGCCGGAAAAAATTGCAACTCGGATGCGAGGCTGTTTTGTGTTTGCCGTTCATGCTTTGTGTGAAACAATGATAAAATTTTGCCATCCTTTTTTAGTTAGAAAATTCGGAGCCTTTTCTTCAAAACATGATTCCTTATCATCCTAAAAACAATATCTGTACTGCTTATATAGCTCCCCGCATCCGCTCTCGCATCTTTTTCCTCAGCATCGTGGGGGCACGAAACTGGTTTGTACCAATCAAGGGATTTTAGAAGCATACGCGGCCACAAAAAGGTCAAGTCAGCAACGCAAGAATAATGACCAGACAAGACAAATGAAGGGCAGATCATATTAATGTGTTCGTCACAAACATTCAATTGTTTATTTAATTTGGTTTTTTACAGTGGAGGAGCTAGAATACCACGATGGATTCTTATCATATACATGAATCATGAGCTCGTCCCAGATGGCAATATAATCCCATTCAACATAAATAAACAGAAAATACAAACAAATACTAATTTGGAGATTCAACACCAGAGATTATTACATCTCATAATCCATCCCATTATTATCACAGAATGCATCATCCATGGCTCGAGGAGGATATATAGCAGAAGACTAGCCTTCAGAAATCTTACTGTTTAAGCTTTGGGGACGTAGTCGATCACAATGACTTTCTCCAAGGTAGGAAACAAACCTGTGCCAAATTTAACATGAGCAGGATGAGCTACATATGCTGATCGGCCCTCTAATGTCTCAAAAGTAGCCTCAAAGATATGAGTGAAACCTTGATGAAGGTTCTCGATGCTCACGTCCGTCCCCCTGTGTATCATATCATGTCATATGAAAATGTTACAGATTGAATGTTAATTTTTTTATTTTTTTTGGGGATAGAAATTAAAACCATGCCAAGTGTTACGGTAAATGTTAAAATCTCAATGAACTTGGACTGCTACATAATCATTCTGTGCAATTCGGTATCAGAACAATTAAACTTACAGTCTCATCTCTGATTAACGAACCTTCTCTCTTATTGTTTTTTTTATTTTTTATTATTATTATATATGATGCCTATAATAATAATAAAAACATGCATAGTGAAAATCATTTAACCCAGAAACCTAGCTTGGCGGGTAATGCTATGAAAAATAATTTTATGTTAATATTTTAATATAGTTCTTCATTCATGGCTTTTTCAATTTAAAATTTGTACACACACATTATTATTTTATATTATTTAAATTCATAAACACTCGATTAAAAAGGTTTAGATAGCATAACAAAGAATCGCTAAAGCTAAAAACCTAAATCGTTAGTGAAACTCAAAAGATTAATGGACTCGTAAACAGTGCACCAAGATGGTACAGTTAGAGTTGTAAAACAACGAATCATGTTATTCCGAACCAAGTGTTGAACTACAGAGAAATAGAATATATAGAAGGTTTTTGTTAAATACCACTCGAAAGACTTCATGTGTTCGATATGGTTGAGGAGATCGGCGTAGTTCTTTACATGTTTCTCAATTTCTTCCTCTGTGGTTCCTTCTTTGAACTTGGCCAGGACTATGTGCTTCACCACCCCTTTTCCTCCCTCCATGCCTCTTCTCTTCACTTCTTTCTCTCTCTCTCTAGCTCTGTGCGATCACTTGCTTTCCAGCTAATGGAATTAGAGATGTTACCTTCTCTATTTAAAGCAATAGCGAACCCACACACTGATTCGCTGGATAAATATGAATGATAGTGTTTACACACCACACACCCATTCAACGGCGGCTGTAATTCTCTTAGGTCAAGATTTTGATTCCAAAAATAAGATTTTCATATGGTGTTTTTATACTAAATTTTAAAATAAAATAGTAATCAACAAGTAGGGAAAATGTTTTTTTCTACGTGAGAGTCGACGTATATATTTTATGAGACTTTCGTTTTTAACAATAATTTGTTTTTTATCTTTATTTTTAATAATTACACTTCTTTAATTTTTTAAACTCTTTTAATAATTATTTAGTTCTTTAATTTATTTTCTTTCTAATCGTTACATGTTAGTAGCCTATATATATCATATATTTTTATAATCAAACAGTGCCATAAACCATAGTATTTTTTGTGCTTATAAAACCTGCTGGTATTTCTTTTTGTTCTTGATCTAGCTATTTTTATGACCCTTATTATAGAGAAAGAACTTATTAAATCTTGAAAAATAATTTTGTATTAAAAAAATATATTTAAAAATAGTGTTTATACATGCTTCAAGTTTTATTTTATTTATATTCTTCATAATATTTTACTATAAAAAAATCATCTATCACCTACCATAATGTGGTTGGAAGTAAACTTATATTGAAAGAAACACCTATTAATGATTTTTATTTTTTTGCATTTTTAATTGTAATTAATTGTGTCAAATGGACCCTCGATTAAAAAAAAATGTAATATAAGAATTCATCCGAAAGGCTCTAATCCTGATACTACTCCATCTAACTAGATTGAACTATGGAATTTTGATGAAATAAAAAAAAATCCATTTTTAAAAAAGACAGATGTAAAAATAAATGAAAAATCATATTTTTATCCAAAAAATAAAAATACATTCTTCTAAGAATAAAAATATTTTTAAAATTCTCTATTTTATCTCTCCTTTTAATTTGTGTCTATTTCTTTTATATTGAATAAATGTTAGTATATGTTACTTCAGTATCATTTTTTTTTTAATCAAATATATGATGCAGTAATGGTATGGTTGCGCACCCGAATTATAGAATTGAGATCCTCTCATGTTCTCTCGAACATGATTGATTATTTTGTTTTTTAATTTAAACCTTCCAAAATAAATGAATGGTTAGGATTCTAGTAATCAATGTTTTCTTAATTAAATATACAAATTAACGTTTTTCAATTAACATTTACCTGTATATCTTTTGAGCAACATATGTCATCAATATATCTGTTTGCGCTGATGATTATTATTTATTTATTTATTTCTTTTTGATTATATAATAAACTCATATATATTTTTAAAGTATCTATTCGATTTATTTTTAAAAAAAATTATCCATAGTCTTTTTATTTTTATTTTAAATTATCCATAAAACTAAAAATTAATTTTAATTAAAAATACATTAATTTAATAATTAAAAAAATTATATTTTTAAAACATATACAGCCACTTTTAAAAATATAATACCAAACAATCACTTGAGAGGAGATTGACGAGAGGTTGGGGAACTGGCAGGTAAACGACTTGTCAAAGGGCAAAGAAATATAAACAGGTCGTGTCGGCTCCGTTAAATAATAATATAAGATGATTATCAATACCAGGTGTCCCGTGACACCACGGATCGAGGAGTGCTGTCGGCCTCTCATTGTCTCGATCTTAAATGACAAAACTATCAAATAATTACTTCTCCACTAAAAGAATCAATCATTATAGAGACTTAGCAATAGATGCTATGGCAATTATTTTTAAAAATATTTGTATTTAAATATATATTATTTTTTTATTTTTTATAATTTATTTTTATATTAAAATATTAAAACAAGATAAAAAAATATTTATAATAACATGTTACAATAAAAAAAATAAATGTGCCTGCATAAGAGCCTTTTTTTTTAATTCAATCTCATTGTTTTTTTTTATTTATTGCATGTTTTTTTCAATTTCATTTTATTTTTAATTTCAATTTAATTTTTTTAATAATAGTTCGAATTACATTTAAATCAATGAAGTATATCAAATTATATTAAAATAACTCCTGGATAATTTAAACTTAGACTAAATAAAAAGTTAAATCAAGAGTTTTTTTATATAAAATTCATAGTTTTTTTTTTCTAAATTTTATTCTTATATCTTTTTAAATAATTAATCAAGTTATTTTTAAACTATGAAGTGGAATAGGTTATGTTATGACAAATCCCATATAATTTAACTATAAACTCATGCTAGCAAGAGACTGGGTTGAAAGTCTTTTATATTAATTTTATTAATAAAAAATTATTTTTTTAATTTTTTACTAATTAATTAGATATTTTTAAATTAATTAAGTTGATTGAATTATATCAAAATTAATATCATTTCATTTAATTTCAATCTAAGGTAAGACAAAAAATAGTATCAAAAAATTTAAAGGTTAACTTACTAGATTAAGTTTAATAAAAATAATAAGTAATATTCCATAGTTTGATTTTTTTATCCATTAAAACAAAAACTTAATCAGTTCCGTAGCATAAGGCAAAAAAAGTTACGGGCTAAACGAACTGTCACAAAATCGTGCATGCTCGCTCATCTCCCGCTACAGGTGCGGCGCACGCTAGCTCAACTATGCTCATTGATTAGATGAAGGATTATGCCATAACTAATCAGAAAATAATTTAATCATGCCCTTGCCCTAGAAAAAAACAAGAACATGGTAGAAGCTGCAAGAAACCAGTAATTCAATGATGATAAATCGAATAGCCTTATCACTACCTTGTGAAATATAAAGAAATTTAGGAATTAGGAAAATCTCATGAAAATTAGAATCCCCGGTATCCACATTAATAAACAAATATTGAATAAATTGAAATTAATGGATAGAATAATAAAATGAATGAACAATATAAATAGATATTTTCTATAGCCATATATCCAGTAATTTTTTAAATGAAACAAGATTGTGTCCCATTATTTTGGTTTATTAATTAGATTATTATATAATAAAAAGATTATTCCTATACCCCCATACTTGGGGGCTGCATGTAGTACCACGTCGTTCATGTCAGTTGCGCTCCAAAGTTATATTAAAGTTCAATTTTTTGTCTCGCTTTTCATAGATGACATCAAATTCTCCTTGAACGAAATTCAACCACGTCCCTTGTTAATAATTTTAGAGCGTAAGGATAATATTTAATTGATCAAATTTTTAATTTATTTTTAAAAATTATTAATTTAAATTTTATAAATTTCAGGATTATTAAATATTTAAATAATTATTAATATTAAGATTTGTCAAAATATGCACAAACTAAAATGAACATCCTTATTAATAAAATAATAATAATAATAATTTTAATTTTAATAATAAAGAATGTAACTTAACTAGTCAGTTTTTAAATTTGTTTTTTAGATATTATTAGTTCGAGTTTTATAAATTTTAAGTCCATTAAAAATTTACATGGTTATTAACTTTAAAACCTATAAAATTAATTAAAATATACATAAATTAACCCAAAAATTTATATTAATCAAATAATAATAATAATAATAATTTTAGGGTCCTCTCTAGTTTGTGTTAGGGAAAACCGGGTCCTGCATAGGATCAAATTAACTCACGTGGAAGATTTTTTTGCTGCGTGCAGCATTTTCTGGATTTTGAGGGAACGATACTGTCATCTAAAGGCTATATCATTTTCTTATAATCCATTTGATCTGAGTTATGCTTGATTAACCACAAATTGAGAGTTCAAGTAAGATTGATTATTATCATATTATATTGGAAAACGATATCGAGGGTAAAAATCGTGTACTTTTCTCCTACATGCGTGCTTGATTTTGTAATCCTGGGATAATGGATTTGCTTGGGCCAATGGTTGAACTAAATTTTTATTAATTTTTTTTTATTTTAATAAGTTAATATAAAAAATAAATTTAAATAAATAAATATTATTATTATTTTAATATATTAAAAAACATTTTAAAAAATAATATTTATCACTTAATATTTTTATTATTAACTTGAATGTCTCAATATATATACCTTAACTAATTTTATAAATTTTAAAATTAACAATTATATAAATTTATAATAACTTTAAAGTTTATAGAACTCCAACCAGTATCCTCTATAAAATAAATACAGGACTAATCACTTAAAAGATATTTGAGAATATAATAGTGATTTCCAATTTAATTTTTTTAATAATGGTTCGAATTACATTTAAATCAATGAAGTATATCAAATTATATTAAAATAACTCCTGGATAATTTAAACTTAGACTAAATAAAAAGTTAAATCAAGAGTTTTTTATATAAAATTCATAGTTTTTTTCTAAATTTTATTCTTATATCTTTTTAAACAATTAATTAAGTTATTTTTAAACTATAAAGTCCCATAGGTTATGTTGTGGCAAATCCCATATAATTTAACTACAAACTCATGCTAGCAATAGACTGGATTGAAAGTCTTTTACATTAATTTTATTAAAAAAACTTTTATTTTTTTAATTTTTTATTAATTAATTAAATATTTTTAAATTAATCAAGTTGATTGAATCTTATCAAAATTAATATCATTTCATTTAATTTCAATCCAAGGTAAGACAAAAATATAGTATCAAAAAATTTAAAGGTTAAGTTACTGGATTAAGTTTAATAAAAATAATAAATAATATTCCATAGTTTGATTTTTTTTATCCATTAAAACAAAAATTTAATCAGTTCCGTAGCATAAGGCAAAAAAAGTTACGGGCTAAACGAACTGTCACAAAATCGTGCATGCTCGCTCATCTCCCGCTACAGGTGCGGCGCACGCTAGCTCAACTATGCTCATTGATTAGATGAAGGATTATGCCATAACTAATCAGAAAATAATTTAATCATGCCCTTGCCCTAGAAAAAAACAAGAACATGGTAGAAGCTGCAAGAAACCAGTAATTCAATGATGATAAATCGAATAGCCTTATCACTACCTTGTGAAATATAAAGAAATTTAGGAATTAGGAAAATCTCATGAAAATTAGAATCCCGGTATCCAC